CCTGAGTGCAGCCTGGTGGCCCCTCAAAACTCCTGGCATGAATTATCTGTCCTGCAGGAAAGCTTGCTGATAAATCAGTCAGTGACACCCATTTTCTTTCTGGGGCTCAGTAATTGTTACAGTCTCTCCCCCGTGCCGTGAGGGCTGGGTTTCTCATTAGCATCTCAGAGAGCCCAAAGATGTGTAAACAGGTGTAGCTACAGAATTTCCTACTGGGTACACATCTGAGGAGGCTCCAGAGCATAAATTACTCTTTCTAAAGTCAGTTTTAAATCATGCTCACTAACAGCCATCTCCTGCCCTTGATCATTGCTCCTAGGATGACAACAGGAGTTTCACATATGGTTTGAGTGAAGCATGAGCCCTTCAATGGCTCCATATCCACCTGTTTCAGATTGTGTCATAGGTATGTGCTTAAGCATTTCATTAACATTTCCCTTTTTTAATGCTAACCCAAGCCATGCTAGCTCTGCCCGTGCATCTGGAAGTTTGCAGCAGAGATGCAACATGCACCCAAACCTGCCGCGTTGCGGAGGCAGCAGGGTGTGAAGCCGGTGGGTGAGCAAGGCAGCTCTGAAATATTCCTGCTGAGAGAACTGGATGTTTTGTCCTATTTAAATGAAATAGGGACTCTTTGGATGCAGGATGTGCAGTTTTGAAGACCCAGTCCTAAATGAACAGATTTTCAGGTGTCATCATTCCCCTGTGAAACACACGCTCTGCTCAGGGATCTCAGCTGCATTTCAGGGTAAGCTCTGCAAGGACATATCCAGGTTGCTGCTTCTTCCTCATCAAAGCAGAACTGCACCCCACCTCCTTTATTTTGTGAGGTGGGAGGGTCCTTGCTGTTTTACAACTGCTCTAAGAAAACCAATATAGTACCAGGGGCTGAAAGAGCCACCCATAGCCTTTGTTTCACGAGCAGCAGTGTTATCCAGCAGGCTCCGAAGCCTGGCTGGGAGCTGAACAGGTTTTAGCATGTTTTTTTTCATCTCATTTTTTCTGTCTCCTTTCATTTGGAAGCTCAACTGTCAAGATTAAACCATCCACCTGTGTGGCATACCCCAGCATGGCTGAACTTGATAGATCTGCACAGTTGGATTCTGCAGCAAAGATCACAGGTCTGAGTCCTACACACTGAGAATAGTCTACTAATCTTTCCTCCCTCCACTCCTCCCACCACCAAAAAAAAACCAAAAAACCCAAACATGTGTTATTCCTTATGGTGCTTTCTCTTTAAGGTATCTCCTGTCAGCAATGTCATGATAGGAATTCTCAGTGGAAGTCTTTGAAAAACTATATTGCTGTTGTTATCTCGTGTCTTACACACAGCACGTTGAAGGGGTTGAGGAGAGAAATGTGTAAAAAATTATTTGGAAGGGGAAAAAAAGAGAAAAGCTAGCTATGCAAGACAGAGGCAGGATGTTCCACACCTGAAATCTCCAAGTACAGCTTGGAAAGAGTGAAGACCTGTGCAGAAAAGGGAAGGGAAATGCAGGACTGGTGCAGGGTGGACACAAGCACCAGGTTGTGCTGCAGGGAAGCCCGGAGGTGAAGGCTTCTGCACAGAGGATTTGGTCCTTATGCATTTTAGAGCAAGACAACCCTCTGCACAGTGCTGCCCTCCTTCCATGGGAAAACACAACAGAAATGGCATGAGCTGCTCCAGGACCTTAAACCCATCCTGAGAGAAACCTTGACGTTCAGCCTCCTCAGTTCCGGGCTTGGAGTAACACATATTTCTCAACATTTCCTCCACATGGTGTTTTCTCCCTGTTGGTCTCCAGTGTTACCACCTGCTACATAATTTTAGTTGCAAAATCTGGTGCATTCAAGTCCACCTTCAAACTTGTGTTACAGTGCTCATGGCATCAAGTTCTGTATCCGATCTCCTTTCCATTCCTCAACCCAGGCTGTTGCCCCTTTATCTTTTATTCTTACCTCATCTGTTGAACAAATGTCACAGCCACAGTTATTAGAAATATTTGAACCTGACAGCTGCAACTACTCAGAGGTAACTATATGTGCACAGAACTATAATTAGTTGGAGCGTTTAATTTTGTTTTTAAATCACTGACATCCAGTATTGGAATCTCTGCAGACACAGACAATTGATACAGACAGTGTGACTTGGGGAGCTTTACGGTCATTTATTTTCCATGTATGAAAGGATAACTAATACACTCTGCCTACAATGACATATATTGTACTGCACAAGAAGAGATTTTTGCCTCGCTAAAGCTCAGACCACAATACATCCACTCAGACCAGCTTCAGCCATGATACCACACTGACTGCAGCAGTCTAAAATTACCCCTGAGTGAGCAGGAACTACAGGCTAGGGCTGAAAAAAAAATTAGTGCATAATAATTACTTAGTGATTGCTGCAGGGCACACTAAAAACATCAGCTGGAATCTCAGACTTTGCTTGAAGTAGGTATCTCTCATCACTCCTGTCTTATGGAGGGTCAAGACACAGAAGATACCCATTTTGCTCAAGGCAAAGAGATGAGGTTTGAGTCTACAAGCCCTAGCCTTGCATCTCATTATTCAAAGCAGTTATTGCTTTGGCAATAACTTGGATTGGCAGAAAATAACAATTTCTAATTTTTTGCACCTCCTGCAGTTTGATTTCTCTGGTCAGATGCAGCCTCCTCCAAAGCTTCAGACCACCACTCCACCACCCTCTCTGTACACAATAAATCCAGGGAATTTATCTTCCCTTGTCTTACAGTCAGAGAAGAGCAGAGATGCTCAGAGCAGAACTTCTCCAAACAGCCCATCCTTAAATAATCCAAATCAAACTTACAAGGAAACCCCATTTCCTCTCCCAGTTCAACACGTTCTTCTCTTTGTTGTTTCCTGATGAATCCTTTGAGAACTAGGACATCACAAGTAAATATCTGGTCATCTCTGCCTCTGCATTCCTGACTGATGTAGCTGTGTGGGTTGCATAATGTTGCTTTGGGTTTCTAATTGTGAGATTAATTGGTTTACTTGAAGAGAATACACTTGAAGTAATACAAGAAAGAAGACAAAGAAGCAGTAGCCTATAAAATCATTATATTCTAGTAGTTTTATTGATAAGGATTAGGAGAAATAGCTGGAAGACAGAGAAGGAATCATATTTAGCTCAGATAATAAAATTATATGAGCTGCCATTTTCATAACATTAAACAAGACCTGAGGGAAGCTTAACTTAAAAGATTACACAGGTGGATTCTTTTCCTTTGGAGAACATGAAAGATTATTGTAAATGTCTTTTTACACAGCTGCCTCTTCAAACACAGTCCCAAGAAATTAGCCAAACACCCATTTTTCACAGCACGGCCTGACACACACAGCAGTGTGGGGATGGAGCCCTCATTGCTGCTTCTGCTCAAAGCAGGGCACAGATGCTGGTTTTGCACATTATAAGTTGTACATTATAAGCTCCTTGCCACTGCCCTGCATGCCATGACTGGGGCACTGCAGAGCCTGGTTTGTGAGGCTCCAGGGGCACCCCCAACCGTGGGTGTCGTGTGCTGATGGACAGAGCCAGGGCATAAATATGTGATGATATATTAATATACATCACATACCCACTGCCCTTGGAACAGAGTTCTGCAAGCACCCAGGTAATACCTGCAGGCAGGGGTCTTTCTTTTCCCCCAAAAAAAAGACAACCAATGAGCAAGGCACAAATGAGGAGAAGGAGAAAGGAACTCTCAGTGCCCTCCCAACACATGCTGCTGCTGCTGGCTACCAGGGGTTTAATTCATTTAACAAAGCTATGATAAATGGTTGGGTAGAATGTATCCAGGCTTGGTTGAAATAAGAAGTTTGCCCCCCCTCGAGACTTTGTTGCTCAGTAACCCACTTTTTTGGGACCATATTCTGTCAAAATGCTCCAGCTGAACTCTCGGTTTAGGTATTCTAGTCCTTGGTGTAGCAGAAGTTCAGTCATATAGAAAGCAAGCAAGCGTCACCTAATATGAGAGATGGAGCTTACAATTTAAAAACAGAGTGGAGAAAAATAGCAACTTTTCTGTCCTAGGAACAGAAGAAATTCCCAAACAGTCATTTCCCTGGGCTGGGGAATTTGTTTTGATTTTTACCTTGATGTTCACTAACTGAAAGCACGAAGATCCAAAGCCTATGATGAGAGCAATAACCATTCCAAGACATTTACAAATGACCCTCTTAACTGTTTATGAGACATTATCTGAGGTAAAGCAGAGTAGGAGAAATAAACTTGAAGTAGGAAGAGCTGGCTCGCCTCCCAGATGGAGCATGATAAAGCACCAGTGTCAGTGTTTCTTCTCAGTTTTATGGCAGCCTTTAACTGCTTGGTGTTTAGGATTTTTTATCAGAAAACGGAAAGGAGAAGGAATGGATCCAAAGCAAAGAGGTTTTCACAAACAATATTCTCCAAATGACTTTATGTGAGCAGATACTGTGTTATCTGGCTATCAAGATAACACCATTTATTTTTTTACTTGCCACAGCAGCCTGCTGCTCAGATTCCCAGTCCTGGGATGTACGAGGAATTCCTGAGCACAGCAATAAATTTTCAAAGGGATCTGGATGACCCCACTGCTTCTTTCCTATTAGAAAATATCCTGAAAAAGTTGATCTCTGGTCAGATTTACCTCATCAAAAAGATTTCTATTGTCTCTCTTAAACAGTGTGTTAGTTGTCGGTTCCCATATTTAGCAAAGCTCTCTGGATTTTGTTCGTCTCCCCCAAAAGGTTAAGGAATGGCCCTTCATGGAACCATGGGAATGGGATAATTTTTTTTACACAGAAAGCTCTCCTGGAAGTGGAAATTATATAAAAAAATACGTCACTTCTTACTTTTCCTTAGCTCAAAGTATAAATAACCTTAAACCACAATTTTTCACGGTCCCTTCACAATATTTTCAACACTATTTTGAGAAAAAAAAAAAAGGGTAAAACTCATTTGTTCCAGTTTGTTCATTGTATTGGATATATCGGATGAAAAGCTTCATGTTTCTCTATTCCAGTTTTACAAAAACTTTACTGAAATGGTTGTCAAATTCACAGAGTGAACAGAGTTTTGACAAACAAAAATTCCTAGATGCATTTAAATAACATTTTTCTCAGGCTTCCTCATTTTTCTCAAGCTTCCTTGCTTTCTCGTGCAACTTGGAAATGCATCAAGAAAATGCATTAAAGAAATCTGGCAAACAGGGGAAAAAAATAAAATACTTCAGAAACAGAAGACTTCAGATCATACTTTACACATAAACAGAGGGCTTGAGTGTTCCACCCCACCAATGCTCACAACACCTCCTCTGTCACATGCCATGAGCTGCCAGCAGGACCAAGGGATGGGCCCTGGGAGGCAGAGCTGAGGGAAGTACTGGAAATCCTTCCACCTTCTCTGACTGAGGCTGAAATCAGTTCATGAGGACAGAGCCAAAGGGCTGAGGAAACTCCATGTCTCGGCACCCCTGGAGCCAATTTTTGGTTGGATCCAACATCACAGGCTTCTGCCAAGTCCGGTGTAAATTTATCATCAGCTCTCTTAAAACCGGTTTTATTCTTATCCCTCATTGATTGGTTGGGTTTAGCTCCCTCAGCCCGAGCTACTGTCCTGAGGCAAACGGGGAAACCACTTCTCTTGGAGAATTTACCTGAGAGTAAAGCACTTTGTGGGTTGTTACAGCAAATGATGGGTTAGAGAATAAAAGAACCAGCCATTCCCATGCCATTAGTGCCCTCAGTCACTCTGCTGCATGACACAGTCCCACAGCTGATGCTCCTCTTTCTTTCTCATGGAAAAACTACATCCCTCAGAGCAGCATCGCTCCTGATTTCCAGCAGGACAACTGAGCTCAGGCTCTGATCCAACAGCAACTTGTTTTATCTGTGTGGGGCTGCCCAAAGTGAGCTCTGTGCTTTGCAGCACGTGCTCCTGGCAAGCTTTGGGTCACCCACAGGGCTCCCGTGGTGGATGGGCACAGACAGCCCACCCGGGGATGGGACCGGGATGCCCCAGGGCTGCACAGCCATGTGGGAGCACACAGGGTCTATGTCAGTGGCAGGGCTACTGCTCCAGCCACACACCAGATGCTGGAAATCCTGGATAAATATGTAAAATCCCCTAATTCCACTGGTATAAAATTTCCAGGCAGAAAAAAGAAGATGTGTCCAGGGAAATGGTGCAGCAGCCTGGACTTCAAGCCTTCAGTTCCAGGGATTTCAGAAAGCCCTGAATCAAAATTTCCACTAACACCATTTAAAAATATACCCTCCCCAGCCTGCAGGAACCCAAGTGAAGAGCTAAGAATTACATGAGTCCACAGCAAGGAAAAAAAAGTCCCAGCCAGGCCCTGAAGGATCAGAACGGGTTTGGGGATCAAGGAAAGGAAAGTGATGCCATCTCTGCAGTGGTGGGATTTCCCTGCAGAGATACAATCCTGCTGGACTTTGCATCTTCCCCACACACACAACCTCACCACCACAGCACACATTTTAACTCACTCCCGTTTCTCTCACGTTGAACCAGAGCTGCCCTAAGTCATATTGCAGCGTGTTTGACCCCATTTTTCTTCTTTGTTTTCACCTCCTAGTTGTGTTTTTCTCCAGATGAGGATAAAGTTCATGGAAATGCTTATGTGAACCACCTCTTCAAACAGAAATGACTAGAAATGTTCATTCATTGCACACCTTTTAGCTGCCTAGGCAAGTAATAAGTTTTTCCTCCAAGTCCAGCCACCCAGTAAGAGGTTAAGAAACAAATTTCTCTGAGATTTTAAATTGCGATCCTTCTGCCTTCATTATTTACTGGTAGAATAAAATATAGCATCCAACTGTGAGGAAAGGAGTAAATCCTTATACTTAGCACAATCCCATTCCAAGCAAACCCCCAAGATCTGCACCACTTCTGAGCACAGCCTAATGGCTGCAAACATTATTTTAAGCATCTCAGCACATCTCCACTGAAAAAGAAAATTAACTACTTTGTTTGAGATCTGTGAGTCTGCACTGAGCAAGCTGATGCCTCTGTAAAATATGTCCCACTGCCCAAAGCCCATTGTTTGGGTACCAAAAGCTCTGAGTGTTTTGGGTACCAAATGCAGCCCTGAGCCTGGGATAACTCATTTAGAGCAGGAACGTGCTGTCCATCTTCGCTGCCTTTGACTTGGTGTTTGCTTGTGTAGGTCTTGCTCAAGGGTATCTGCACCACAACCCTTTGCACAGACTAGATGTCTTTCCCAGACTACACATCTTTCCCAGTGCAGCAAAGTTAACCTCAGTAAAAAGGAAAAAAGGATGGAAAATCTCTTTCACAACGTGATGCAACTTTACAATTTTTGATTCATGTCATCCAGCACGAGGTTTTCTTGGACATGGAAGTGCTGTTCCCCATTTGCCTCTTAGAGCAAAATGAAAGGAGAGCCTGTGATGCTCACAGTGTGCTGCTCACGGATTAATGCTGAGAAGAGCAACTTGTAAAATAAAAATGGGGGCTTAAAAAATAAAATAGCTTGACAAGGAAATACTTGAGCTGCCTAAAACAGATTTATTTATACTTTTTGGTAAAGATCACATTTTAATTGGGGTTATTATTCACATGAGCCTGGAACTATATAATATTATCCAATAATACAGAGAATCTGACACCAAAACATGTCACAGCACATATTATATTTGCATTTGCCAGGCACGGAATCCCATAAATTGCTGTCTGATAAAGGTCTGCAGTTCAATGGACAAGACTTTAAACAATTTGCAGGGGATTATGGATTTCGACATACAACATTCAGTCACGGTTATTCGTAATCAGATGGTCTAGTGGGAAAGGGAATTAAGCCTCCAAAGTAGAGCCTGGCCTGAGGCTCTGTTGAACTTGAGAACAGTGCCTTCCAAACCTGGGCCATCCTCCACAAGAGCCTGACAGCCTCGGCTATTCAAACCTCCCAAGGAAGGCGAAGCTGATGGAGGTGTCTCTGAAGATAGGACACAAATCACCTCACAGCTCCAAAGATCCAAGAGGATGTGCAATGTACTGCATCCACGATGTCATTTGGGGACAGAGGAGATTGAGATTTTATGGCAGTTGCTCATGTTTCCCATAAAACTCAAAGCTCACACGGGGTGACTCAGGAGGAAGCAAGGGGCAATTGCAAGTTATTTCCCTGGAAACAGGGACCTGAACTGGAAAAGGATTCAGCAGCACCACTGCGGGACCAAAAAGCAGCAACAGGGATGGAAATGCTCCTCAGGGCATCAGCCCAAATACCCAGAACTCCTGAAAGATTCAGGAAGCTCTGATACAACAGTCAGTGACACCGTGCTCCCTACCAGCACTGCAGCATACACGGGGCACAGTGGAAAATGTTCAGGCTCGTTATCAAAAAGGAGGGTTGAGTAATCCAGCACTGGCGCCTAATGCTGCAGCGTGGGAGCTGATCCCAGCCAGCGTGCCCTGGGCTCTGCCACCACCCTGCAAGAGGGATGCTCAGCCTCCCTGGGGCACCTTTTTTCCAGGTCATGTCCCAGACTCTGAGGAAAAACGTGAATGAACTCCCTATTTTTCCCTCGTGCTTCATTTGGTTTAATCTAGGTTGGGTCTTGTGGACCTGGTGGCTCCCCCAAGGGGGTGGTCGTGGGGAAATGGGGACCAGCCTCACCTTGGAGAAGCACAAAGCCTTGGCAGCCAAGCCTACTTGAAAATGTCATGAAATCATGGTTCCAGGCAGGAAGACCAGCTCTGGGGCTCAAGTTGTGAGTTCAGTTATACCGACCCTCTGCTAACAGTCGTAATTAGGGGTTGTGGATCACTGCCAGGAGCACGTGCAAAGAACCCAGTAAAACCCCAGTGTGTCAGGATTTGGAATTGTGCCGTCACGGAGCATTTCAGGAAAGAATGCACTTAATGGAATGAAATGGTAGAAAAGGAATAAAAGCAGGTGTTGCTTTCACACAGGTCTCTGCACACATTGAGGGCAAAAAGAAAAACAGGGATGAAAAGATGGACCAGGGTGTGCAGGTATACCTGGAAATGAGGACTAATCTAACTACCTTAGGCTGTCTTTGCCTTGGTCTGTTGTCTTGGAGCTGCTGAAAAGAGCAGCAAAACATACAGCCTTGAAGATCTTGAATGTCAGCCTGGACACCAGGGTTATGCTCAGCTCTATCCAAAATTTCCACAGGATCATTATCTTTCCCTCTTCTTTCTATGGAGAGTGCTGGAAACCACTTAAAAGAGTGTGTGCTGAATGTGTGCAATAAGACCAAAGCTTTCCAAGTGAACTGAGTGCTGGCAACACAGTCCAGGTTGGGAGCAGTGGGAATTGCTCTGCTCCATTTAGTAAGAGTAGAAGAGCACCACATCAGTAGTACAAACAGCCCTGCATCCCACTGCCAGGAATCTCTGCTGGCAAAGGAAGGAAAAGAAAGAAAGAGAGACTCAAAAGAAGCCGTGCACATGCTTGCACCCCATGCTATGGCAATATCTGGTTCAAGATATTTTAATCTCTGGTTCAAGATATTTTAATCTCTTTCATGATTAGGAAGCATAGTACTCACAGGCTGATCTTTGTTTTCTCCTTGGGGTCTTGCTCTCTCTCTGTCTTGCAAACAAAGGGACCCATTATCTTCAGCGGGACCCTGTGAGCTCCCACACAGCACAGAGCAGAGCAAGTGAGGAATTCCACGGAAGTCCACAGGTAAAAAGTCCAAAAGAGATTGAAAGTCAAGGGTGTTCAACCTCCCTCTGCACTTCTAAACACTCATCAAGTCATACTGGCCAAGCTTTATAAATTTTTATCAGTTTTCTGATTTAAGCAAAGGCAAAGTTTGGTTTTCTGTCCCTCCAAAACACCAAGAGTTACACTAAGCTGCAAATTCACATGGAAGGGAAATTTTGATTTTGCACTGAATGGCAAGAGCAAAGCAAGTGTTAAACAAAAGACACTGACCTGCTTTTTCCCAGCAATAGTAAAGTCATCTCACTTTCCTTCTGCTGTTCACATTGCCTTGTACAAGTATTTAAATCCTCTGATGATATTGTTCACTGGGACAGCTCAAATATGGGGCATGGCAGGGGGTGGAATAAAACAACAAGAAATTAAAGTGTATCCTGAGAAATAAAAAGATGTTTCCTTTTATCATCTGAAAATAAAATTAATCTGATATAAGAGCTGCCTGGAACAACTCTTGGCAGCTACCAACAACTCCTACAACAGCTAGTGCAGAGCATTTTGAAATGGGATACAGTGACATCCATTTTACTGATGGGGTCCTGAGGCAAAAAAGGCAAGAAATGACAGTCCACACACTCACCCTGGAGAAAAACTGAATCTGGGGGCTTTGCAGGTGTAAAACCACCACAGAAGATTGACACATCCTCCTCACCTTACCAGAGCTCCATGGAAGTTTTGTGGAGCAGAACTGACACCTGTGTTAACTTCTATGACATCAGTGATGGGAATGAGGCCATGTCAGTATAAATTAGTATTAGAGATGTGAGTCAAGCCTTGTAGGTAAAAGCCTTGAAATTCTTATCTCTGATCCACCTGTCAGCATGAAAAACAAAATGGTCAACAAGCATGAAATCCAGCTTCTTAACTACTTTTGGTTGTGAATTTAGAGTAAGGAATACTATAACTATTAAATGATTAATGTAGGTCTTCCAAATAGTCATGGAGCTGGGTGCCATGAGGATTTTTTAATACTGCTCGAGATTTTTCACTGGAATTTTAAGTTTTTGCTGACTAATGACTTAAAAGTTCATTTAATAATTCCATTATACAGAAGTGGCACTAAGGAGAAGTGCACACTTCTCAGCCATCCACTTGCCTGGACAAGGGGCAGGAGTGACCTTAGTCCTGCCTGGACCAGTGTTGGTCCCTGAGGGAGGACACCCGGGAGCTTTCACACCCCTGATGCTTCCAGCCATTTGGACACTCCCCATTTGGGGCTTGCAGTGAGCCTGGGACACAGAGCTCATTTCCAAATTGGCTCCAACACCTGATTTCCTCATTGGTGCCATAACAGCCAGGCATTCCTTAGGGTGCACTATTCTTCTTCTTGTTTTTTTAACATTATTAATTGTCCCCATTGACAGTTCTAAAAGGTTGGTTATTTTTTTTTCCCCCTCTGATAAGACAAACACGTTTGAATCAAACAAGCCTTGACAAATGCTGGAGATACACACTGTGCTGAAATAATGAGGGAGCTCTTTCACACAACACCACAATATGTATGGACAAGTTGTTGCACTGGAGCAGTATGAGCTTGTCAGATCACAGTGAAACGGTGTTCATTGAAAGAACAGGTACAAGGAAGAACAGCAGAAAGTATTCTGCTGTACAAACATGCAGCCAAGCAAAACCTTTGGAAGAACAGGACACAAGCAACACTGAACCATTTTCTTTACAATACTGGTGTCAATAATGCCGCCCACAAGAAATTGAAATATTTTCCTGCAAAAGAGAAAAGCAGTAATTAAGTCTCAAATTTAGTCAGGCCCAGATACACAAAACAGAGAGGATCAATAGCTGCCAATGGCTGCTGCTTTGCAGACCATAAACCTGAAACAAGCAAAATAACAAACACGTTAAAATACATGGGTTTATAGCAAATGTGGACAGAAGTATACAAAGTTACGTTTCTCAAATCAGTGAATTGACTTGTGTGTATTCTTAATAATGTTAATTTGCTAAAATCAGGGAAAGGAAAGCGTGACAGTTGTCCTTCCCACCTGTCATGAGCTTGAGCATGTGTGTACATAACATGGGCAACCACCTTCACAAAGCACGAGGCAGCCTGACTCACTCTGTCAACAGAACTCCCCAACTTCATAATTATAAGGAGGTGCCAGTTTCATGCTATTCAAAGTGTATTTTGAAGGGTAAATGCTTTCTGGCCTGACAGCAGACCTGCCTGAGTCACTGGCCAGGCTGTGCCCAGCTGTGCCCGTGGTGCCCACAGCTCTGCCATGGGCTGGCTGCATGACAGGAAGGAGCAATGTGCTGTGTCCAGCTGGGAGCCTCATCTTCCACCCCCGTACCACCACAAGACTGAGCCCAGGCAGCTATACCCACCTGGTGCCTCTGGCAGTGCCCTCCCCTGTGCCCTGCCCCTGTGCACAGCCCTGGGTGGGTGTTTCAGCAGGAACAGGCTTGCAGGGAGCTCCTGCCCTCGCTGGAGGGGTTAGGGAAGGAAAGCCATGAAACGGGGCTTGCCGAGGGCACACCTTGTCTGGGGTTCACACGGGTGTTTAATGCAACAAGCAGTGTCACCACCACCCAAAGGAGAGCTGGCTGCTCTGCTGGAGGGGAGGTTGGCCACTCCATCTCAAAGGAGCTGTGTATTTGTAACCACCTGCCTCGGGAGGAGGTGCTGGCAGGAGGGATGGATTCTCCCGGAGGGAGCTCCTCTCCAGCACACTGACCACAGGCATTAGCTGCCCCTTAACGATGTGCAAGTGGTGGTTCGCAGTGAGTCCTTTCAGGCTGATTTAATTGGACCAGAGGACTCCAACACAATCTGATCCTGCCAGATTTCTGCCTCCAGGAGGAAGGTCAATGCCCTGCAGTCATGACCAGGGTGATTCTGAGTGTGAGATGGCCACTGCTGCTCTGAGCCAGGGCTCAATCTCCCCTCCCAGCCCAGCTCCCCACTGCATTTATGCAAAACACAACAATCTCAACTCCAGAGACTTGCTGGAGGACAGAGAGCATCATCCATGGGAGCTCAATATGTGACCTTGCCCTTGAGCATCTGCCTGCCCCAGCACGTCTCTCCTGTCACTGATAAGGTGCATCTGGATCCTCCTCACATGCCAGAGAAGGAGGAAGGCAAAAATCCTGCTGCTGAGACTCACAGCCTAGCATTGGCACAGCAATCAGGGAGGGAAAGGTCTTGCATGGAACCAGCTGCCCCACTGCCGCCGCCCAGGGCTCCCAGTCACCTGCTGGCTTTGCTCTTGTCGTTGCTCCAGGCACTGCTGGTCAGGGGAAGATGATACTGCAACCCAATACAGAAATAATTAACGGCGGGACACCGAGGGGAACATGCCACGATGATCAAGAGCCTGCAGCCTGAGGCAGCCCAGCGTGTCAGGAGGAGGGAGCAGCATCCCTGCGAGAGCTGCCACTCAGCGCTCTAATTTGTAGTGGCCGGGCAGCCCCCGCCGCCCGCCGTCGGAAAACAGCTCCGGGTGGGAATTTACACTGGGAGGAATTAGCAGCCAGCCTGCCCTGGGCTGGGAGGAGGCGTTTCGGGTTTCAGGGCTGCCCACGGGTGATGGGAGCTGAGTGCTGGGAAGGGGGACACGGCACCTCACAGCACCTTCCCACCGCCACCGAGCCCGTGGGCAAACTGCGGGAGGGCTCCCGAGGGAACACTGCTGGGCAGGCGCTTCTCTAACTGCAGACACCCTGGGATTCTTCCCCCACCATCAGCTTTGACCCTAATAATCCTACAAATAGCCATTGGGGTTTAACTTCTGCTCCCGGTTAAAAAAAGATGCAAGAAAATGAAAGCCATGGCAAGATGTTATCTCTGCAGCAGCTCGGCAAGTCCTGCTGCCTAGGGAAGGGGGAAGAGTTGGTTTCTGGCTCCCTTTTCCCTGGGATGAAGGAGAGGAGCTGAGGAAGGGTCTGGAAGAAGAAAGGCAAAGCAGGCTGAAAACAGAGTTTGGTCCAAGAAGCTGCAGGAGGTGGGAGAGGAGCAGCAGTGACAGCTGGGCCAGGGCATGGGGACCCGAGTGCATCCTGAAGGACACCCCACAGAGACAGCCCTGCCCACCCAGCTCTGCCAGGAGCATGCCAGTCAGAGTCCCTCATGGCAGAACACCGGCAGGGAAGGGGCTGGAAAGATGTTTGGAGGGAAGCAGAGGACCACAGTAAGGCAGCTGGGGTGGAGAGCATGGGTTGTGTTCTAAGGAGAGGATAATAGAGCCAAGTAAATATTGCTCAGCTGGGGAACAGCAAAGAGGACAGAGCAGCCTACAAGTATCTGGAGGCTGTAAACATCAAGGAGGGAGAGGAATTATCTACAGTTGTACAGGGGGCATAACTAAGAGTAATGGGATGAGATTAAGAAAGGAAGGGTTTAGGCTGAATATCAGGAAATATTTCCCAATAATGAAATGGGTCAGGCTGCTGAATAATCCTTCCAGGGAAGCCACAGGAGCACAGCACTTCAGATGGTTACAACTACCCATGACTAAAGCCTGGGTTATGTGCTGCCAGGCATAATGGATAATGTAATTTCTATCTCTGGCCTCCAAGGTTATTTCCTTTCCATCTCTACAGGAGGAATAACTTATCAAGTAATACATGCTTTGAACATGATGCTCCTTTTGTCAGAGACAAAAGAGCCTCCCAGTTCCCAGCCCTGCCAGGAGGGTCACTGCAGTCAGTGGATTAGGGATGCTCCCTGCTCTGCTAGTCACACCTCTTGCCTTTAGGGCACAGTCACTTCTCCCAAATTCCAATCAAAACAAAAACAACTTGATTTAAAAAAAAAAATAAAGAAAAAAAAAAGGTAGAGCTGGTTTATTTTGCATTTGTTTTAAATTTGCAGTTAGATAGCATGAAATGTATACATTTAAAACAAATTGACCCAAAAGAAGTGGTGGAAAATAGGGAATGGAAGCTCACAATAAATACCTTTGTCCTTTTGCTGTCTCATTTGCCATGAGACAGATCTGGACTGGCCTCAATTCAGCATCAAACTACTCCAGTCAAATCTAGGAAGCTTTTGTACTCCACAAAATCTGTACCTGTCCAGAAAAGAGGATTTCCAGTCATTTTCATAGGAGAGTTTCCATTCAGCCTTAATGAGGAAGAGTCAGTCACCCAAACAAGAGGAAGGCATCAGGGAAGAGCCAACCATTGAGATCTGACTCACTGCATTTATATCTGTAATTAGGGGACTGGGAATGCTCAGCAGCAGCATTAGGTGACAGAACTAGAACAGTATCACCTTCCACAGCTCTTGTGAAAAGCTTCAGGTACAATCCCTCAGCGGGGTGGCAGGGCTGGGACATGAGGGCACAGGGGATGAAAGGATGGAAGCACATGTTTCCTGAGGACAGGAGTGCTGAACCTTCACAGTTGCACCGTGTTTCTCCTGTTCATTAACAGTGGACAGCAGGAGAGCAGCACAGGTCTGAGCTCGGGCGTCACACGGAGATCCCCGGGTGCTGAACATCGGGGGTGAGGCAGTCAGGGAAGAGTGGGATTTCTGAGTCTTTCAGAGCCCCAAGGCTGGGACATGGGAGGAGGAGGAGGACTAGGGAGCTATAATAAATAAACACTCTTTAACACTGGATCTCAGGGATAATAATCCATCAAATCCTAAAGGTTTGCCCTGAGCAACTCCC